TGCCCTTAAACAATGTATCTGGGACATAGATTTACAAACAAATTTAAGTAAGGTGTTGCACTCCAATATTTGTCAGTTTCTACCACAAGGATTTATTCCAGCTTCTTATTTAACATCTATTACAATTCTGAAATTTCGCAAAGCTTTCACCCTAGCTAGAATGGACGCATTGCCCTCAGCAGTCCTTTTTGGACGCTTTAAGGGCATTCCTATGGACCTTCGATGATGTCCATGTGGAGATGACTCAATAGAAACATTAAGCCATATGCTATTATATTGCTCCCTATATAAGGATTCTAGACAGATATATATATACCCAATATTGAAGAGATTTCCTGGCAGGGAGTGTGACTTTCATCTAATGCTACTCCTTTTGGACAAAGACCCAGAAATACCCTTTCTAAAGACCCTACCCTTTCTAATTTTGGCCTAGCCTAGCCTGAAAATCACCAGGAAATTCTAGGAGTCCAGACTGGGAAGTTGGAAGAACATACCAGAAGAAGGCAATAGCAGGCCCCTTCTGTATTGTTCTCAAGAACATTTACATGGAGGTCTGTCTGCGTGGTCGGCAGGAGCTGAGGTCAATTCAAGGGAGGCTTGACTTTCCCTACTGTGTTGTACAAACCCAATTATTCAGCACTCTGTGGTCAACGAATATGTTCAGTTGTGGGATGATTGACTGACTGAAGTTCTCCATGCTTCTTGATTCCCTTCTCTGATATACAAAAGAAGCAAAAGGCTGTGAAAAATCCCAGTCAGGGACATTTACCTAGGTGTGTGTGTGCAAAAAAAAAAAAAAATCCAGATGGTGGTCGTGACTAGGTAATCAAAGCCTTGCACACACATAAAAAAGAGGTGGGTATTTGATCACACAATTGTGACCACCATCTGGACTTTATTGACCCTTTCTCCCCCAGCCCTGTATCAGTGGCATTTTCTGGGCTCAAGTCTCCTCTGGTGTTCATCAACTGCGGATGCTATTATCCAGTCTAATGGATAATTAATGCTTTGAGGCACATCAGGAGAAGGTGAGGAACATGAGGAAAAACTGATGCAATAAGATTTTATGTCTGGACCCAGAGGAACTCTACGTTTACATTTAAAGTCACTATAACTTACAGTATGGCATATTCTCCATTCAGAAAACTTCAGGCCGCAATCTTTCCCATTATTTCTGGAGTGTCTATGCTCTATTTTTATTAGACTGTCACAGTCTAGCAGAGTTATTTCCAGACTCTCCACATACCTTGGTAGACAAAATGGAAACCTTTGGCTGTGGTCTGCCCTTTGGCACTGAATTTGATCAGTATTTGGTTGGTGGTAGCCAGAGGCAATGATTCACCTAGGAAAGGAAGAAGAAAAAAACCTTTCAGCAAAATGCAATGAAGTAAGAAACTTTGACCTAGTTATTTATTAGACTTTGAGACCACATTACCATCTCCATTTTATGAACAGCCCACCTGTAAATTATGTAAATTAAACTACAGTAAAGTAAAAATGATGATTTATGAGAAAATAGAATATAGTAAAATGATTAGATATAGCACTTTAAAAAAAAAGGAAAACAAATAACAAGTTTAAAAGCAGGACATAAACCTGAAGTGAAAGTAGGAAATACATTAAAATAAAAGCAAATGACCTCAACTCACTAAAACATTTCTTACAATGCCTGGGAGAATAGAAATTTCTATACCTGCTGCCAAAAGGACCATAAAATGGGGACCAGGTGAGACTTTGGGGAAGGCATTCGACAGATGGATTATCCTTTCCCACAGCCACCTGTTTCATTGCCTCTGATGAAATGATTGTTGGAATCATATAGACATTATTACAGTGGCCCTTCCCAGTCAGCTTTGGAAGTCTGCCTAAATGAAGCCAAGATCAGGCTGGTCTACCTCTCAGCTGCAATTGTTTTTCTGAATGGGAAACTCCTGCCTGGATAGTGGGCAGTGTGGATCTCCTGAGACGGATGATCTGCTTAAGTGATTAAGAAAGAACAATAGAGATGAGAAACTGATGAACCGAAACTGGGGCAGAGCCTTGATGGCCTGTACAATTAGTTCTCTCGGAATTCTACATGTTAGCAGCTCTACGGGCTGTTGGTATGTTTCCATGTCTCTATTGATGTTCTATTATGCATTGCCTATCCATCTATCCATCTATCCATCTATCCATCTATCCATCTATCCATCTATCCATCT